GGGGGGGGGGGGAATTAAGAAGTGTATATTGAATCCCCACTAAATCTCTGTTTAAGATTCAGGTGTAAATTCAGCCAACCAGCTTCCAGGACCTTTGTGTACATTGTCCCACTATTCATTTGGTACACATTTAATACATTAGGTTTGTACTACACTTGACCTTAGTCAAAATACTTGGAGGTATGCACCTTAAGATGCAATGACAGGAAAAAAGTTTTGAAAAAAACCCTGCAAGGTAATAATTAAAATGAAATTAGTTCTGAACATCCTCACTAGGATTTCATTCTGCAGGAATTCAGTGCCATGAGAGACTAAACTATATTTGTGGATGTTCAAATATTTCAAGCTTTATTTATTGTTTCTGAGGATCTTTTTGACCAGAACTACAAGAAGCCTTAATCAATTTGTTGTATTGATAATCACCGGCCATGACAAGTTGGGAAATTAATCCTTAAATGATGTGTCAGGAATCAAACTTAATAAATAAGTGCCTATGTCACACTTGTTAGTGTGTACATGAGAAGTCTCCCCCCTCCATACAGTCTGTACAAACAAATTAATTACCTATAAAATAAGATGCCTCATTTATAAAAGAAATAGATCCCCACTTGTTTATACCAACCCATTGTGTCTCAGATACCCAAACTATTGCTAAACAAAGAAACACATGATAGACACACTGCCTTTCTTCCTTCTAAAGAGAAAGGCAAAAAAACAAAGAAAGAAAAACAGGAAGGAAAGAGAAATGGGAAAGAAAACTGAAGCCCTGGTTAGGCATTACAAAAAGGAATACATTCACTGGAAAGCAGCAACTTCCAAGTAACAGCTACTCTTTTGACGAATTCTTAACGGCATCTACACTTTCCAGATGCAGTATCTGTGGTCATTTGTAGCTCCTTTTTATTCCATTGTTTTCAGAACCTTCTTCTTTTATTACCAGTGAATCTGGTAATTTATTACCATCTGAATCTCAGGGAGAAAAACTGTGCCTTCCCAGGGGGTAAATACAGTAATGAGTTGACTTTTCCCTTGAAATTAAGTAAGAATAATTAAGGTTACTGTGTCTTAGGAAAGGCCCACAATATTGCAACATAAGGCAAATGAAAAATTATTACGGATGTGATTACTGATGCATGAAGCAGATGTTCACAATCCTATTAAGCTCTCAATCATGTGGTATTTTTTAAGCCCAGTTTTATTTTCTCTACAAAGATTTCCTGTTTTATATAAAAAAAGGAAGGCAGTAGAGGAAATTTGTTTACACTTAAGTTTTGAAAACAGCCTTACAAGAGCCTTTGGGTTGCAGGATGTCAGTTTATGGGATGTCATTTGAATTCTTTACTGTAGAAACTGTAAACACTAGGAAAAGGTACGTAGACATATTATGCTGCCAAATAGGATTGGAGAAAAATGAGTATAGGGCTTCAAAAGAAACACAAGAAAGCTAAAACAAATACACCGCATCTTATTCTCAAAATAAAATGTAGCAAATGGCATTCTTTTGTCGTCTTAAAGGAACTGAATTAGGTATTTCTGTGAATTACCCTTGTCTTTACTAGTTATATTCATATTCATATTCTCATTGTCATTCTCATTCCCTTTCTTTCTCTCTCTCTCTGCCAAAACCACCAATTTTGGACTGGAAAGGTCCATTTCTTTTCTTTTTTTAATATAAATTTTATTGAAGATTTTTATATGAATAAAAGATAAACATAAGAACATATATAAAGGAGTGTTAAGCAAGAAAAAAGGATAAAAGAAAGTGTGAAAAACAGTAAAAATAAAGAAACGAGAAAAAGATAACAAATCTTGATATATGAACCATTTCTCTTTGCCTGCTGTTTCTTTTCTATAAAATGCTTCTTGTGCCGAAACCCGTAAAGGTATTTTTGGGTACAGCCATACTCCATATTCTTAATATGACACTTCTAACATAGTGGTTTTGAAAATCTACATTAATTTTAATTTTATCATACCATAAAAAACCATGCCATCTAACCTTCAGCTTGTATTCTTCTAGTTCTAACGTTCTCTTATTTCTCAACAGCACCTACTCTCGTCCAAACCAAACAGCAGGTTGTAAAATACAATTTAAAGTCAGTATGGTCCATTTCTTGAAAAGTAAGTAAGTGATATAGCATAATCTGAAATCTTAGAAGGCTGGTGAAAAAATCTATAAATTGTTTTTCTTTTCACTAAAGCATAGTTACTTTCTCTCTTTATTGTACACTTTCATTTATACAATATATTAAAAATACCTCATTTCTTCCTAACTGTACCTTTTCACTTACATTTATTTTCATATTAAGGATTGAATGTGATCTGGCAACATTAGCTTTTACTGGGTGCTATCAATAATATTCCAATAGCACATTTTTGGGACAAATAAGAGAACAACAAATATATTGCTATGCTTTGTTTCCTTTAGTCATCTTAGACAAATTCAGCAAGACACATCTTGAGTTCTTATAGTGTCTAAGGAAATTTGGACCCAAAATTTACTTTGGCCTTTTTCTGTCTCCAGAGTTAGTGCTATCCACCACCCATCCATGAATCAGCAGAAAACTTCACTGGCACAGTGTTTACTCTTTTCCCTGCCATTTCCTATTTTGTCTCTATTGCTCCTGTTTCAGGTCACTGCCATTCATCTGATTCCACTCCAAAGTAATGGATAATGAAGCATAACAAATTTAATCAACTTGGGCTGCCTTTGGACAGTGCTCAGAACAGTACTCAGAAATACTTCAGTACCACTATAGCTGAGGATGAATTCAGACTGCCATGTACATTGGCTGGAGATGAGATGAATGAAAACTTGTGCAGACATGGCTGGAAAAAATCTGTGCCATGGCTAGGTAGAAATGAAGAGAGAATTGTAATATGGATATGATATTACTCATGTTGTGAGATCTCCCTTCACATGTTTATCCACATACTACATTGTAAACTGCAAGGGGGCACTTGAATCTCACTCTTGTAAAGTAGAAGAGGGCAGTCAATTTACAGATGGGAAATGCACTTTATTATTTATTTGGGATTATTTTTTGGCAACCAAAAAATACAGAGAGGCAGAGCTAATCTAAGTGTTACCAATTTGGGGTATGTATGTATGTATGTATGTATGTATGCATGTATGTATTTGTCGTATTTATATAGCCGCCCATTCTACATAAATTTGGGGTGCACTCTATAAGAGGGGGCTGTAAGAAAATGGGAAAAAATGGCCTTGGACCTCAGGTTAATCATCCCTGTTTTAAAGAATCCTATGCAGGAATTTTGTGTTCCTTCAGTCCTGTAAACAACTATTCCTATTCATATAAACAACCTTGCATCCATATATGGGTGTTTTCTGCCAATATTTCAAAGGCTTCATGAACTGTCCCTGAGGATAGTAGTAGTCAGGAGGTCATCAAAATCTCAGGAATTTTATGCACATGATGGGATGGACATTATGAAGGCTATCCTTCAGGAACTTATTTTTTCTCTCCTCCAGACTCCTTTGATATCCATTATGTCTAAATAGTTGACAATTATTTTAATAATGGAAAGGAACTGGCTTACATATAGAGAGCAAATGTCACCAGGCGCAGGATCCACTTTACAGTCTTACCAGGCTATTGTGTTCCTATATCTAGACTTGTGTTTCCATTATATCAAGATGAAATTTAACTAACTGAAAACCAATCTTTTAATGGTGGGCTCTAGCACACCATAGACATTTCCTTTGGCACCTGCTCATAAGTTTTATAGATATCTTCAGATTAAATAGAAAGCTAAATTAAACACACAATATTGTTAAGTCCATTATTGGACAAAATGTCTAAGTGGGAATATGAAACAAGATCTTTCCACTTCTCATTCCATGCATTAAGCTAACACCACATAAATATTTGCAGTAGGAAGAATGAAAAATATCCAGCAATGAAAATAAGGAGAAAAGTAATCGGTTTTTTTTAATTATTAGTTGCTACCAATATGCCTCTCATTATTCTCAGTATGATACATGAAACTAGTTAATACAGAAAACAATGCTTTCTGTTTTCTGATCTATATGTCAGTTCTATATGTCTGTTTATTCAGCTCTGTATTCTTTGGAATCCATTTTAAACTATATTTTTTAAGTTATATATCAGGCAGACATTGTTCTTGGATTTTTTTTCTCTCTAAAGTAAGCACAACATCTTCCAGTGTGGAAACGGAGAACGCAGTCTAGTGGCTGTTGCTGAAGAAACTCCATCTCTGAGTCTGGTTGGAAAAGAAAAGGTGGCATTTTCCCTTTTATTTCATATAACAATGGGTCTTCAGCTAGCTCTGATCTATCTTCAAGGTGGAGAAGCATGAACAGAATCATAATTTGGAAGCTGCTATATAGGTCATCATTTCCAACCCATTGCACAGTAATCGAATTTAAATTAATCTCTGTCTCTGTATTTGATTAAATACCATGTGATAGTATCTGTATATCTGAATAATGATATAACACTTCTTCACTAAGGAGAAGCATACTAATAAGATCACCCATCCAAGTGATAAGAACACCTTTATAAATTAATTTTATTCCAAATATCATACTACTATATCTATCTCTTGTCTACTTACAGTTCTGACACAGAAGAATATAAAAGAAATCAGGAAACAATCAAGGAGATGGGACAATGAAGTATTGATCACATTCCTAAAAACCTGAGCAACCATTTCACTGATTTGTTGATTTGAAACTTCCAAGCTTAGTTCACAGCTTATTACATACAGTAGCTGCTTACTGTAAATCTAATGTCCAGCAACTGCCACACCAATGTAATCATATCTTACTCTATTGTATAAATAATGCCATGTCATGCCAGCATTCTTCCTAATATCAGGAAGCAACTGCAGAGATGAGGGTGATAGTTGCATTATTTAAGCAATAAAGGAAGTTTGTGTACAATTACATAAAAGAAATTCAACTGACTAATTTTAAGCAGCTACCAAAGATGACAAAGTGAAAACAAGTTACTTACACTTAGGGCATATGAACTGTTCTCTGGCTTCTTACAGGACTCTGGAGTATCATTCTTCCTGATCAGAATCCTTATTTTATCATCAAGTTCTACACTGTCACATCTAATTTCAGAGAGGAAAATAAATGATACCTTATTTTCTAAAGCCAAAAAATATATGCATATAAGTGAGTTCAACTCTTTATTTAATCAAGGATATTTTTTTAAACATAGTCTAAGAATTTTCCGAAAGTTATTCTGTCAGGTCAAATTGGAGTTCCAAGAAAAAGTCATAATCTGTTAATTAATTATGAGCTTTACAAAATATATGCGTATATTAAAACATTTTTTTAAAAGCTGAATATAGTTGATTTCATAAGTTTAAACATCTCCAGCTTGGAACATAAAATATGATTCTCATGTGTACTATACAGTTGCAACTGTGCTTTGTGGCCACGTATGAAAAAGTTCTTTAAATTTAAACCTCTTGTTCTCAGTAAAATACTCATTAGAAATTCTGAATTATAGGACCACCCAACCAAGTAGTCTTTTAATTAATGAGCTTTTTTTCCCTATCTGGACCAGTTTTCTACACTGTTTCATCCAGATGTTTTACTTGTATATATTTCCATCAGCTGGCCAAAATTTTTAATCCTACAAGAAACTGTTTGTAGTCATGGACATGCCTTTTAATACACACTGTGTTTTAAAACACAGTTGCATTTTAATTTTTGTCTTTCTGGCATGCATAGATGCAGACCACTAACTAAATATAAACCTTGATGCTATGCCAGAGATCCACCTTCCTCAAACTGATTCAGTCCCAGAATTATCAGCCAGCATGATCTACTTTTCCAACCTGGTGCTCCCCAGCTATGTGGAACTTCAAGTTGTAGAATTTTCAGCTGAAAACTCTTGAATGTGCCAGGTTGGTGAAGATCAATATAAAATCTATTAATAAAAATATCTTCTTTTACATTAAAAAAAAATACATCCAGACAGCTCATTAATACATGGATGGATACTTCTATACCAGGTGTATTTGAAACAAGCACAGAAGATTGCTCACATGAACAAATCTTAGTCGCTATATTGCAATTTCTGTTCCAGTCCCACCTATCTCATGGGGTTGCTGCTATGAGGAGAAAATGAAGAGATATCTCCACGGGAGCTATACTGACCTCTTAGAGGAAAAGTGGAACATAAGTCTAACAAATACATTTTAAAAACTTGTCAACTGAGAATTAGTACAGAGAGAAATTAAAGATACAGCGTAATTGAAATCATCTGAAATAATCAGATGATTATTTGATCCATCCATAAATAATATAGCTATTAACTTTCAGAAACTCCCCTTCACTACCTAAAAAAAAAGGATGTTAAAACAGATCTAATATAATTATATCATTATAATAACTGTATTTCTGTGATAGATTTCTAATAAAAACATTTCTATGAAATTAAAAGTCAGCAACAAGCTAAACCTAATTCTTGCTGTAGTTACAAATTTTAAGTTGTTTTCTGCAAGCAACTAATAATGTTGCATTCATAATGCAAATCCTATAAAATGAGTACTAAGCAAAGTTCTGGAACAGACTTTTTGGAATTCGCTAGCTTCCACATTTACTAGGAATTCTGGGAGTTATAGCCCAATACATCTGGGCAGCAGCAAAATGGAAGAGATATTTGCATAGGCCCATGAAATGTATCACTTCATTTATCACATTGTTTTATTGGTGTATTTGCTTGTCAGGTTGTTCTTGTCACAGTTCCCATTGCCCCACTCCTCTTATTGCTCATTCTTTTGATTAATGCGTGAGTTGGCAGAATCCAGTTCACCCAGTGTGTTTGGTTCTGGTTTAGCACATTGTATTTTGGGCACCTTGATATATAGTATAGCTCATTATGTGATCTCATCCAATTTATACATGTGGGTTGCATCAGCTTTTACATGCCTCTTTCATAAAACCAGTCCTAATCAATTGGACAGAGTAAGACTACTGAATCTGGGCTTCAGAACTCCAGATGACCACTAAATAGTAGCATCTAAAGATCGTTTGGATATCACTCTGGACGAAAAAAACCATCTACAACTTTTGCTTACCTTAACTAACAGCCCTTTTCCTGGGAATCTCCTTTTTGCAGTAGAGAAGCTGGATACTGAATTTGACATAGCCATGCAGAGCATGTGCTCTGAGAACTGTCAGTGCAAAAGCTCTCTAAGGAGACTGCAGCTGGTTGCATAACTTTATGCTGCAATCAACCAATCAGGGCAATTTCACAAGTTATAAATTTCCTACAGGGAAGGCACTTTGTTCTAGGAAACAGCTAAGATCTCTTAGCTATCTGAGACTGACAATCTGGCAGATTTCATGCTATTAAGTATGCAAGAAACAATTCAGGTGTGATCCCTTGTTGCCTTCCCCTTCCTGCACTTTTAATTACACCTTAAAATAGTTTTGCAGTACTTCTTTTTAAAGTCTAGAGGGCACTCAGAATTAAAGTAACAAAGCTTTATTAGATGCCAAGCCCTATTACTTAAACATGTCTTAAAGTAAATTCAAAACAAACCCCAAAGTATCTGTTTCTCATTTGCTGCAAGCACTTCTTATTTACTTCTTGATCATTTCTACTAACTGATAAATAAATGAGACAGAATTAAAAGGTAAATGATTTCTGCTGGAGCACAGGACATATTTCCTTTTTATAATATTTTTCTGACATCACATCATGAAATTGTTGGCTTGTTTTTAGGGTGTTTTGGGGGCCGTTAAGAAGTGAAATAGTGGCATTCAGTGTTGCCAAATCTTAATGTACTCATTTGGTCCCTTATTTTAGAAAAAAGAAAAGGAGAGAAATTTCACTATCCATGAAAAAAATGTCTTTGCCTTCAGATGCTGACATCATAGTCTCAGCTGCTCTGTCATCTGACAAATGCTAGAGAATGCTGTATATTCTGTGAGCCATAGATGACCTAGCACAATAAAGAAGCGTGGAATGATGATTTTGGTGCCTGGGAGAGAAACAATTACTTCTAAACCAGGGAATTACTGGGAAAAGCTATGATGGAAAGTGAGTAGGGCCACATCGTGCACATTTCTATTTTGAAGGGGCTTAGTGCAATTACAGTGGTACCTCGGGTCATGAACGCTTCTGTTCACGACCAATTCGGGTCACG